AATTTAAAAACTATATCAGCCCTTTTAGGAATAAGTCTGATCATCTGCCAGTATTTTTAATGTTGTGATTCAATTTTGGGTTTCTGTTATTGCTCATTTGTTTTTTGTTTGTTTTGAGACATTTTCTTGCTCTGTAGCTCAGGCTGACAGAAAACTGCCTCAGTCTCCATAATTTCAGTTCCTTTTTAAAAGATTTTGTCTTATTTATGTATATGTGTGTGTGTGCACATGTGTGCAAGTGCCTGTGGCATCGTGAAGAGTGTTGGATTCCCATGGAGCTAGAGTTACAGGCAGTTATGAGCTGTCTGTTATAGGTGCTAGGAACAGAACTCTAGTCATCTGCAAGAACAGCAAGCACTCTAACCCAGTGGGCCCTTATTTCAGCTCTTAAAGTCAGGAAGCCAACAGGCTTTCTGATGTAATGAAGAGACAACACAAGTATATGTCTTAAAATATTTATAATTATTTTGTGTTCTTAACCTAAAGAATAATAGGGTCTCATCATAATACAACTTCATTCACAAACTTTGTATGTAAACTTAATAAGGCAGTGGTTTAAAATACTTTCTGGAGTTCTATACAAAATAATTTTAAGATTATTAGTTTTATGTCTAGTGCTCTCATTTTTTAAGGCAGAAACCACAATGCTACAAAGATTTAGCTATTTTACTAATTTATATTATATCTAGAATAGTTGTGAAAACTGATAAGCAAAATATTCAAAAGACAAAACTTTTTTCTCAGATTTTTTTTAAATTTGAATTAGAAACAAGATTGTTTTACATAACAATCCCAGTTCCCTTCTCCCTCCTGTCCTCCCCTACCCCTCCCCCAACTAAAACCTTATCTGTCACATGTCCTTTCTGCTCCCCCTGGATGGTGAGGCCTTCCATAGGGTGTCATCAGAGTCTATCATATCCTTTGGGATAGGGCCTACACCCACCCTTGTGTGTCTTGGCTCAGGTAGTATTCCTCTATGTGGAATGGGCTCCCAAAGTCCAAACCCATGCTAGTGATAAGTACTGAACTACTACAGCAGGTCCCGTAGATTTCCGAGTTTTCCTCACTGAAACCCATGTTCCTGGGGTCTGGTTCAGTACCATGCTGGTATCCCAGCTATCAGTCTGGGGAGCAAGAGTTCCCCTGATGTTCAGGTCAGCTGTTTCTGTGGGTTTCGCCAGCCTGGTCTGGACCCCTTTGCTCTTCACTCGGCCTTCTCTGCATCTGGAGTCCAGCCCAGTTCAGTGATTCCTTGTGGGTGTCTGCTCCTACTTCCACTAGCTGCTGGATGAGGGCTATCGGGTAGCATATAAGTCAGTCATCAACCTCATTGGGGGAGGGCATTTAAGGTAGCCTCTCCTCTGTGGCTTAGATTGTTAGCTGGTGTCATCTTTGTAGATCTCCAGACATTTCCCTAGTGTCTGATTTATCTGTAAACCTAAAATGCTTCCCTCTATTATGGTATCTCCATTCTTGTTATCTTCTATTCTTTGCCTGACTCAACCTTTCTGCTCCATGTCCTCTGCATCCCTCCTCTTCTCCCCTTCTCATCTCCTAGCTCCCTTCCCCCTCTTCATGTGCTTCCAATTTGCTCAGGGGATCTTGACCCTTTCCCTTTCTCCAGAGGACCATGTATGTCTCTCTTAGGGTCCTCCTTGTTTACTAGCTTCTCTGGCAGTATGGATTGTAGACTGGTAATCCTTTTCTCTATGTCTGAAATCTGCCTATGAGTGAGTACATACCATGTTTGTCTTTTTGTGATTGGGTTACCTCGTCAAAAGACAAAACTTTATATACTTGGCCAAAACACCACTTCATATGGACATAGAAAAAGCAGAATTTCACTTCATCTGTACTTAAAAACAACATAAATGGAATTGGTAGTTTGCAGGATACAGTACTTTGCATGCTGCAAGTCTGCTCATTTCCTTTGTGAATATATTCTGTGTGAATCCTGCAGTTCTGCTGTAGATGACTGATACAGAGCTTTCCTGGGAGTAGATTAGAAAGTAGGCAGTTCAGGTTCTAAAACCCTGGAAGCTTTTTTCAGTTTTTTCCCCTCAAGTGCTTCATTTGAGTGGCTGTTTTTCAGTGGTTTAGAAAAGAGAGTAGTTAAGAATTCTGAGTTGCTTATAAGGTTCTCTACACCTAGATTGATTTAATATTTAGGTTGATCGATGGTCATCCAAATAGAGTACTGCCACCACTGCACATGAATTTAAAAGAGGAAAAAATGTGCCAAGTGTGATGTCACATGTCTTTAATTCCAGAACTGGGGAACAGAGACAGAGATGGGTGAATGCCAGCCAGGGATATATAGTGAGACCCTGGAAAAGTGTGTGTAAGTGTGCGTGTGCGTGTGTGCGTGTGTGCGTGTCTGTGTGTGTGTGTGTGTGTGTGTGTGGCATTTGTTAGTGTCCATTATAACCCAGTGGATCTCTGCTATCTTCCTTACCCTCCCCCAGAGTATTGTATTAATGAAGTGAGTTTCAAGAGCTATTTTATTATACACTTTATTTCAAAATTCAAATGGAAAAGAAACCACTTTTAATACACTTAAAAAATTTCAAACTGTTGACATTGTGGAATTCTCTTGTGGCTTTGTTTTATTTTTTATTTTTGAGTATTAAGAATATACTGGTTCATTTAGATAAGTAGCTCCAAGTGATGCTTTCCTTATAAAATATTTTTATTCTTTCAGAATTTTGTACTTGTGTGGAGTGTGTTTTAATCATACCTACCCCCCATTTGTGACAAGTTTCTTAATAGCTCTACTTAAAATCTTATGGTTCTTGAGTCAAACTGTTTTGTTTTGTTTTGTTTTTTCGAGACAGGGTTTCTCTATGTAGCTTTGAAGCCTATCCTGGCACTGGCTTTGTAGACTAGGCTGGCCTCAAACTCACAGAGATCCACCTGCCTCTGCCTCCCGAGTACTGGGATTAAAGGTGTTTGACAGCAATGCCTGGCCCAAGTTATGAGGTTTATTGAAATTTTTTTGTTGCACAACTGATGATAGTGTTGTATCCCAATGTCAAAAAGCTTAACAGATTCACTAAGTGTTTGAATTGAAATTTTTGTATTGCAGTGTAGAACCTAACAAATGTATACATTCTTTGTTAACCTTGGAGAATTGTATAACAAGAAAGTCGCTGAGGACTCTTGACAGTTACTTGAGAAAGTGGTTTCTATGCTTGTAATTTTCAGCCTCACATTCAAAGGAAGGAGACCATGCTTCCTTCATAGAATACAAGAACTGAATAAAATAAGTCCCTATTATATTACTAAATGTTTAATAGATTCTAAGCTGCTTTCAACATTTAGCAAATAACTGGCCCAGTAAGATTGGAGCTTAGGAATAAAATAGAGGCAGCATTCTCCATTAATAGAGAAGACTGTGGAAGAATAAAGACAAACACTGATGTTCCTATCCTATTTGCTGTTTTTAATCTGTGGAGCCCCAGTTTCTTTTCATAAAAACAGGGTGCTGTTTAATCTATCTATAGGTTGTTATGAGATAACTAAGCACCTCATACAGAGTAATATTTGATAATGGAAGGCTTACAGAAGCAACTAAGAACAGAGCCAGGTTTAGCCTGACATTCAGTTCAAGTTAGGAGAGCATATTGCTAGGAAGGTAAGTAAAGGAAGACAGCTCTGCTTGTTATGACTTAAACAAATTGGACCAGGCTTTTTCTTCTTTAGGCTCCCAAATCATGACACAGAGACTTAATATTAGTTATGAATGCCTGGCCTTAGTGTAGGCTTTTTTCTTATTGGCTCTTATAACTTAACCTGTTTCTCTTCATCTACTTTTTACCTCAGGATTTTTTACCTTTCTTTCCTTCTGTATATCTACTGTTAAAAGAATTATTCTGGTAACTGTTGTCTGGCTGGTGGCTGCCTGGCTTCTGGCCCTGCTTGTGTCTTTCTCCCTTATTCTCTTCTCGTGTTCTTTTCTCCTTCTCCTCTTGAGCCTGAATTTCCCCTCCTACTTATTCTGCCTACCAGCCCCACCTATTCCTCTCCTGCCTAGCTATTGGCTGCTCAGCTTTTTATTAGGTCAGTCGGGTACCTTAGGCAGTCAAGGTAAAACAAATGCAACACATCTTTACATCGTTAACAAAGGCAGGAGAAATAAATGTGACGTGCCTTCACATAAAGTAATATTCCCGAAGCATAAGAAAATCTAACACTTTTTTTGGGGGGAGGGGTGGTTCGTGACAGGGTTTCTCTGTGGCTTTGGAAGCTGTCCTGGAACTAGCTCTTGTAGACCAAGCTAGTCTCGAACTCCCAGAGATCTACCTGCCTCTGCCTCCCGAGTGCTGGGATTAAAGGCGTGTACCACCAACGCCCGGCTCTAACACATTTTTTGCCTAGCTAAAATAATATTCCACAACACAAATCTGTTTTTGGAAGATTGTTCAGCATGTATCATTCATTGTATTGATGCTTCTGTTACCTTTACTAGCACTCCCATGGGTTGGTTTTCTGATGCATCCTTACTTCTACATTCTTGCATTTATTTGGTATCAATTATGTTAGTAATAGATAGGGAGTGTCTAAAGAAGTAAGCAACTTGAAAGTGGTAGCTTGTCATAGCTTCTAATGTAAAATCCCATGGTCAGAGAGTAGGTGGGAGAGTATTGATATCAAAAGAAACTATAACTATTGATATCTTAAACTGACCATAAAATTACAATTTCAGTTTCTTCAAACTTATTTAGGGTTTCTCTATGCTGAGAATACTTTGGAATGACTGTGAGGCATCAGATAATCTGCTGTAAATTTGGAACTGTTTAAAGTTTGGACATCTTAAAAGAATTTTTTATGTTTTCAATGATCCAAAATATGTATAGCTATCTTATATAAAGTTTTGTTCATCTCCCATACAAGTCTTACATAATTACATGCCTTCTTCTAATCCTTATACAGTACACAGGAAAATGCAAAATTGGTTTTATTCAAGTTAAGACAAACTAATATATACATTCTTGTCTTTCTCTCTCTTTCTGTTAAGTAGGATGAGTTCTGAACGTCGAAAAGAAAAGTCTAGAGATGCAGCGAGATCTCGGAGAAGCAAAGAGTCGGAAGTTTTTTATGAGCTTGCTCATCAGCTGCCTCTTCCCCACAATGTGAGCTCACATCTTGATAAAGCTTCTGTTATGAGGCTCACCATCAGTTACTTACGTGTGAGGAAACTTCTGGATGCTGGTGAGTTCTACAAGAACATAAGAGACCTAAAAGTTGGAAATTAAAAGCATCTAGAAATTACTCTAGCAGGTGACCACAATGCTTTTAGATTTATTGTGTGTCTGTGTGTCTACATATGCTCACTCATGCAGTGCAGGTTAATGTGCTCATGAAGATGCCTGTGGAGGCCAGAAGAGGGTGTCAGATCCCTTGGAGCTGGAGTTACAGACAGCTGTGAGCACTGGGAACTGAACCAAGCTGATCTGAAAGAGCAGCCAGTGCTCTTAACTGCTGAGCCATCTCTCCAGCATGGCCTCCACATAATGCTTCTTAAAAGTGCCTTTCAGTATTCTTGCCTCCTTTAATCAAGCTTTGGTTTTCTTAGTTACCTTTTTGTACTGTAAGTTGTTTTGGTTTGCCCTTTATTTTTAAACATGCAAATATAACTCTGTAGCTCCTGGTACATTATTAGCATGATCAGTGAATAGATATTGTAGCCCAATGAAGTTGTCACTGTTCATCCTCTAGAATACATTCTTGATCTTCCACATGACAGCATCCCTTTTCTTACTAGCTTTCAAAGCTTCATTCAGGTATTTTCAAGATACTGACCTTTCCCCTTCATTTCCTCCTGCTTTACCTATCTCCTACCCTCACATACACATTTTTTTTTTTTTTTTAAGACAGGGTCTCACCATGTAACCCTGGCTAGTCTGTATCTTGCTTAGATAGACCAGGCTGCCTTGAACTCACAGAGATCCACCTGGCTCTTCCTCCTTAGTGCTGGGTGCCTTCCTAAAGGCATGCCTGTCTTCTTTTTAAAATACTATCCTTCTTTTTTTCTTCAGTGGTTTGCTTGTTTGCAAATTTATTTTAAACAGTTATATAAAACACCTGAAAAAATCTCATGAAAATGGACAGAAATAAATATATGTACTGTAGATATTTAAAAGTATCTGAGATAAAGCCTCATTTTGTTTCTTCCCTCTTATTTTGCCCTTGTAGGTGATCTGGACACTGAAGATGAAATGAAAGCACAGATGAACTGCTTTTACTTGAAAGCCCTGGATGGCTTTGTTATGGTGCTAACAGACGATGGTGACATGATTTACATTTCTGATAACGTGAACAAATACATGGGGTTAACTCAGGTAAAATCCCCATATATGAAGAGTCCTTCTGGGTACTTTATGATTATATGATCTAGATCTAACTTTTTTTAATGTGTTTACAGTTTGAACTAACTGGACACAGTGTGTTTGACTTTACTCATCCATGTGACCATGAAGAAATGAGAGAAATGCTTACACACAGAAATGGTGAGAAGAAAAGTCTATTGTTTGATTTAATATGACAGGTGATTTTTCAGTCAGATACTGTTACTAATTTTATTTTATTTCTTGGTAATCTACTCATTTAAGAGAGAACATTATTTTACATTAATGTTAAAACTGTTCTTTGTTAAAACTGTTATTCTACATTTTAGAAAATCCATAGAAATGTTTTAAAATTCATTGAATTAGTAAGTAATTACACACTCAAGTAGACAAAATGGAAAAGTAAATAAAAAAACCAAGACATTTATAAATGAAAATACAGTAGTAATGCAAGAAATCGTAATACAGATGGCAGGTAATAGGATTTTAGATGATTATTAAAAACAGTGGCAGTTTGGCTTCAGGCTTTCTCAATGCCCAAAGTGGGGGGGGTGGGGAGTTGACCAGAATTTTAAGTGCTTTGACTTCCCAATGTTTTCATTAATTGGGAACTAGTTTGAAGTCCTACATGTGGTGGTGCGCACCTCTAATCCTAGCATTTCGGAGGCAAATACAGGCAGAACTTTTGAGTTTTGGGCCTATCTGGGTTATGTAGGTAGTTTCAAGCCAGCCGAGGCTATATAGTGAGACCCATGTCAAAAGCAAAAGTAATATGTTGTGGATACTTGCACATTAACAGCAGTAGTAAGAGGCCTGTAACTAACTCCTGAGAGTTTTGTGAAGTACTTGTTGGATTACAGAGTCAGCAGTTGAAGTTTCTTCACACTAGTGTCTTCTTGTATAGTACACTGGTTTCTCTTTCTTGATTCCCTCTGGCAGCATAGAGATTCTTCTCTTTGAAAGCATTCTTATTAAGCTTTGACTACTTTGCATTATTATTGACCCTACTGTATCTAATACATGCTTAAAGGCATTGCATCTAATTATTCATCTTTGCATCACTCATGGTACACACATTAGGTCCTGAATAATGAGTATTTGAATTTTTTCTAAGCTTTTAGTTTTATATACCCTAAAATGTACCCATTTGATACATTTCAGTGATTTTTAGTATATTCACAGGCATAGGCCAACTACCACCAAACCTTTCATTTTAAGAAAAAAAAAAAATTTATTTTGTTTCTTTGTATTGAGACAGGGTCTCGCCATGTAGGCCTGACTGGCCTAGGACTCCAAATAGACCAAGTTGTCCTTGAACTCATAGAGTTCTGCCTGCCAACTGCTGGGATTAAAGGCGTGTGCCATTATTCTCAACAATTTTAGAAATTTTTCATTGCCTCATCCATCTCCTTATACTTCTTATTCAGTCCTGAGCAACCTCTAATCCACCTTCTCTGGGCATTTCATATAAATGAAACATTTGTTTTGAGCCATACTAAGCAATGAAAATAGGAAATCAAGATGCTATTTTAGAGCCATCTGAATCTAATCTCATTTTTTAGTTACAAGGTTTGGCATAGGACAAAATAGACTTGAATTCTTTATCTCTGCTTTATTTCTGTGACTTTCTTTTCATGCTGCTGGAGAATCAAACCCAGGGCTTCCGTACATGTGCTAAGGAAGTGCTCTTCCATTGAGCAACATTTCCAATCCCCATTTCTATAACTTTAAATTTAAACAAGGTCAAACTGTATAGCTTAGGTTGGCCTAGAAGTCTCCATCCTCCTTCCTTAAACTCCTAAGAGTATTGACATGTACCACTATGGCGTGAGTGCTGTAACTTTTGATTAAAACATTCTGTCTGGGTTTCACACATACAGGTGCTATTTACTACCAAAAGTTAAGTTGGTATTTTTAAAGTTCCATAAATATATCGCTGCCTATTCAAAATTGAATTACTAGGTTTGGTAGAGGACATGATTTATTCAAGTTCTTGGGGGGGGCTTACTTACATACTGACAGCACACTTAGGGCAAACTCATACCATTTTCATTTTTTCTTTATACCACCACAGAAGAATAACAGTCATCTAATCATGTAAAGTGTGGACTCTGCTCCTAAAATTCAAGAAATCTCTGCAGTCTTATAAACACTGCCTCTGGGTGGAGCTGTCAGAACTAATCAGTGTGTCAGAGTGGGTGAACAGGGAGCAAATGTTGTCTTAATGCTGAGATGTCACTTTGCTACTCCTATTGTAACAAGTTTCTATGTTTAGCTATGACTTAAAACTTTTGTTTCTTGTTTTCATTAGGCCCAGTGAAAAAAGGTAAAGAGCAAAACACACAGCGAAGCTTTTTTCTCAGAATGAAATGTACCCTAACTAGCCGGGGGAGAACAATGAACATAAAGTCTGCAACATGGAAGGTAAGTAAGTTGAGCGGGCACTTGATTTATAGATAAATCTACACACTTACATGTTGCTAGTGCCAAGAGCTTTCACCAGGAGCGGTGAAAGTGACCCTAGCACCTGGGAAGCAGAGGACTGCTGTAAGCTTGAAGGCAGCCTTGTCTACACAGCAAGTTCTCTGCTAGCTAGGGAAACACAGCAAGCCCTACCTCAGAAAACAAAACAAACAGTACCTTGTCTCAACCCTCTAAAAAGAGTTTTAGAGGTATGAGAGGGAGCTGGAGAAATGGCTTAATGGTTAAGAGCACTTACTTGTCAAGGACCTGGGTTTGGTTCTCAGCATCCATGTGTCAGCTCACAATCATCTGTAACTCCAATTCTAGGAGATCCGGTATCCTTTTCTGGCCTCTTCTTTAGGCACCGGGTACACACACAGTGCACATACATACATGCAGGCAGAACACTACACACATAAAATAAAAGTAAATTTTTTATTTTTTATTTTTATTTTTTTTGGAGACAGGGTTTCTCTGTGTAGCTTTGAAGCCTATCCTGGCACTTTGGAGACCAGGCTGGCCTTGAACTCACAGAGATCCGCCTGCCTCTGCCTCCCGAGTGCTAGGATTAAAGGCGTGCGCCTTTACTTTTACTAATAAAAATAAATTTTAAAAAAGAATTATAAGGGGGAAATTATAATTGTTCCCTTTTTGCATATTTGCACTTGCATCCAAGTCTATGTAATCTCCATTCAAAACAATGACGTAACTTACCAGTTTGAGATATAAACTTAAATTATGGGAAATGTGGTATTTCAATACCAAGCTAACATAGTCAGTTGGCTTTGGCAACTAGTATTTAAATCCTGTTTTAGTTTAATTTTTCTCCTCATCACTGTTTTATTTCCTTGTTCAATACTGAACCATAATCAACACAGCAAAATCAACTATAATAATAAGATGGGTGAAGAAGACAGCCCAGATTTACACAAGGGGACTTTTAAAAAAAAGACTCATTTATTATTTTTGTTTTGCATGCATGTGTGTGCACACGTGTGCACATGTGGGGTGTGTGTGTGTGTGTGTGTGTGTGTGTGTGTGTGTGTGTGTGTGTGTGTATGTGTGTGTGTGTGTGTTTTACTTGGATGTATGTAAGTGTACCAAATGCTTGCAGAGGCCCGAAGAGGACATTAGATCCATATTATGTATTATAAGTGATTCCTAGTTTTTATTTTATGTGCATAATATACATACATGCTTGGTGCCTGAAGAAATGAAAAGGCATCAGATCCTCTGGAACTAGAATTACAGGTGGTTGTGAGCTGCCATGTGGGTGCTAGGAATCACATCTTGGTCCTCTGGGAAAGTAGTAAGTACTCTTAACCACTAACTCATCTCTCCAGAACCCCACCCTCAAAATGTTCTTTAAAAAAAATACCTAAATATCTTACATCTTAACTGCCAAGCCAGCTCTCCAGCTCTTCCCCTACCCCTACTTACTTTAAAATAACTGTAATACATAGATTAGATTGTAGATGGTGTCATGGGAAAAACTTTTTTTTTTTTATTTTCAAAGATACACTTCTATCAAAGTTTGTCAGGTCAAACTCAATTACTGACCTATATTTCTTTTTGCCCCTTTAAAAAAAAAAAAAGATAACTGCTTGTTTTCTTGCTCATGCACAGGTGCTTCACTGCACAGGCCATATTCATGTATATGATACCAACAGTAACCAACCTCAGTGTGGGTACAAGAAACCGCCCATGACATGCTTGGTGCTGATTTGTGAACCCATTCCTCATCCATCAAATATTGAAATTCCTTTAGATAGCAAGACTTTTCTCAGTCGACACAGCCTGGATATGAAATTTTCTTACTGTGATGAAAGGTAAATTAATTCTATTTTATACTTTTAAATTTTAAATTTCTCTGTAGCTTTTTTACACTCACTGTAGTAAAAACTTAATGGTACACTGCATGTGTTCATGAAATTAAATATAAAGATGCATCCTGGAACACAAAAAAAACATAAGATTAGCTTTGTAAATTCATGCATCTATTAAACATTGACTGTGTACTATAAATATTCTGCCAGGTGTTCTGCAAATCTATTAAGATGAGATTCTCAGATGGATCTGGTGGCACACTCCTGTAATCTCAGCAACTGGGAGATGGGCAGGAGGAAAGGGAGTTGAAAGTAAGCTGTCTCACAAAAATATGTTTCAGGATAGGGATGTAGGTCAGATGGATCACTTGTCCAAGCATTCAAAAGGTATTGAAACAACCACAAAAATCATGACGTTCTTTTGCTTTAGGGAATCTTGAGAATGTAAATTTCAAAGACCTAAAGCTTATATAGAGTAGGCAACAAAATTTTGGTCTTTAACCTATATGTTCTCCTTGAGCACCTTCAACTCCACCCACAGTTCCTGTCCCCATTTCCCAAATCTGTTACTACTTGTGTGTAACTGCCAACTTGATATTCCTGTCTAGATCATTTTCTGTATAATGAAGTAAATACTTGTGTTCCTGAACTGAACCACTGCTGTTCCCAAACAGCAGCATGACAGATTGCTACTCCTCTTGTGATGCCTAGTGTTGTTGACATAGCACTGTTGACTCTAACTTTTACCACACATTACACTTAGTTGGTCTCTAAGTATTGTAAATGCATTGTTCATTCAACTGTCTCTCCTCATTGTTCTATCTACCTTTGTGCTCCTGTCATGAATTCTTTACTTCATTACCTTTGGCCTGAGTTGTTCCCACAAACTTGTGAGCTTCATTTCTACCAACAGATCTGTGCCCTTTTACTCTTACACCCATTGTGCCCAAAGAGGGCTTCCCAAGGTAATGATCAGATTATGCCAATTTCTTATTAGAAATGCATCAGTTGTTTCTTGTAGGATTGTAGATGGGAAGATTTTTATTTATCAAAAGATGCTGTACATTCTGGATATGGTGGTTTATGTCCGTGATCTCAAAACACTTGGGAGGCTGAGACAGGGAAGTCACCAAAAGTTCAAAGCCAGCCTGGACTACATACGGACTCCAGTCTAGTCAGGACTTTGTAGTCTGTCTGTGTCTCAAAAAAAAGAAAGAAAGAAAAAGTGTGCAATTAAATCTAAATATAATAAAATGACAAGCAAGTTATTTACCAGAAGATTGCCCACAGGTTAGGTTTTCTCATTGTGTTTTCATGTCTAGAATTACACCAGAAACATGAATGTTTAATTAAAAAGTATTTCATTATGTTGGAATTTTATTTACGTGTGTAAAACTATGTAAGAGCAATTCAAATAATTTTTAGGGCTAGATGCACCTCCACACTCAGCGGTAGCATGTGTGAGTGCATGTATGTGGGTTCATGTGGGTCACAGCACAAAGGTAGAGGACAGAGGACAGTTTGTGGGAGTTCATTCTCACCTTCCACCACGTGGGTTCCAGAAACTGAATTCACGCTGCCAAGTTTGGTAGCAGGTGCCTTACCTGATGGCCCATTTTAATGGTCCTGGATGCTAGAAATGTGATGTAAAGGTTTTCTTAAAATTGGGCAAATTTTTTTCTGTGTCTTGATTCTGAGGTGGTATAGAGCAAGAAATTCTTAGCAAACATTTAAAACTGAAAACTAGTACAAATCACCAGCTCCAAATCACCAGCACCAAGATGGGGTAGGGAGGACCTTTGTCTAGCATTGTGAGCCCCCATATCAGGGTTCTCAACCAGTGAGTCATGTCCCTTTTGACAGTTGACAGGCCCTTTCACAGGGGGCCCAAGACCATTGGAAAACACAGATGTTTACATTATGATTCAAAACAGTAGCAAAATTAGTTATAAAGTAACAATGAAAATAATTTTATGATTGGGGGTCACCACAACATGAGGGATTGTGTTAGAGAGTCTCAGCAGTAGGAAGGTTGAGAATCACTGCTCTAGATTTAATCCCTACTACCATTCTGGGATGAAGGAGAAAACACATATTTTTAAAGTATATTTTATTTATCTTTGTAATGCTGCCATCTAGTGTTGGTGTATTTTGGTTATCCCTTTTTGAAGAGTCAAAGTTTGATTTATGCTTCAATAAATCTGCTTTGTTGGTTTTAGAGTAAATGGCAGATCTTAAACTGTAACAGCTAAGCTATATTATTTAACATACTGTTATGAACAAAGATACCTTCCTTATGCCCATTCTGTAATTAGGTGTTTGCTTTTTAGACATATGAGTATCTTTTACCTGCACCTTGGTTTTTTTGTTTGTTGGCTTTTTTTAAGTCCTCTGGAATCTAAACTGAGAAGTGTCAACACTTGGTTCATGTTTGTTCCCAGAAAGACTTCAGTGAAAAATGTTTGTAATTGGTTTAATGTGACGAGGACAGACTTGTCTTTCTCATAAAATGGGTCCTCATGGTTTCCAGGCTGATACCCAGGGACCAGGAGGCTCCCTGAATCCGTTTTCAGCCCTTTTTCTTTTAGATGCCGTTCTTTCATGTGAAATCCTCTTAATTTTAGAAAATTAATATTTACTTTCCATTTAGTATGGATGTCCTTGGCTTAATAGTGAAATTTTATAGTTGATATTAAAGTGAGGCCTTGCCACAGGCCTAAAAATAGGGTAAAGATTTTCACTGAATGAAAAATAAACTGCTATAGATTTATACTGTATTTTAAGATAATTGTGACTGTCTTTGGAACTTTTGTCATTTCATTTAGCATCATTAAGATTTACTAATATACCCTGCTTTGATACCAACAGTGTGTATAATGAAATGTGTTTTAAAAAATAGGTCATGAGTTTGGGTAAAAGGGATAAGTCAGATATCAGGGACTGATCTAAGTGACTTTATACTAAGTTTTCTGAGACAGGGTATCTCTGTATAGCCCTGATGTCCAGGAACTCTGTCAGTAAACCAGGCTGGCCTCAAGTTCACAGAGATCCACCTGTTTCTGCTTCCAGAGTGCTGGGATTAAAGGAATCCACTGCCCAGCCAAAGTATAGAATAGTTAAGTGTGAGTTCTAAACTTATTAAGCAAAAGATAATCTTTTTTTTTTTTTAAACAGAATTACTGAGTTGATGGGTTATGAGCCAGAAGAACTTTTGGGACGCTCAATTTATGAATATTATCATGCTTTGGACTCTGATCATCTGACCAAAACTCATCATGACAGTAAGTACAGTAGAGGAACTCAAGGAAATAGTGTCATTGCTTAAGTCCTGCAGTCTGTACTGTACCTCTACTTTCTAGTTAAAATTACCACCCAGTCTCCTTAGACAAGCATCCTACAGCCCCTTCATAAGATGTCTTGATAATGAAATTATTGTTTTGTTACAAATATTAGCAAAAAGTAAAGTCATTTAATAATAAATACATAAAGTATCCCATAAAAGTCAAATATTATAGATTATCTAGCCTACGTACATATGTACTGAAATCAGTGGTTGGTCAATAGGAGGTAGTCACAAAGCATTTGTTCATGAACTAGTGAGTAGGATTAGTATACACATGTGATAACTGACACCCTTGACATATAGGAGGTTTCTGAATTTTACTCAAATAAATCTATGATACCAAACTAAGTTAAACTTCATAATTCCTCACTTGCCTATTTAATCTGGACCTAAACATGACTTCCCAATATGATTGAGGGTACTGAGTTGAGTATCATTGAATTAGTGTAATTTGCCTTGAACTACAGAGTATGCCTAAGTTGTAGTCAGAGCATGGATACTCACAACGGCATCATCATGATTGATTTACTACATTCTCTTAAGTCAGTAATTAATTTAGACTGCATGAATTGACAGAAGGCTATAGTATGACATGAACTTATATATTCAAATGTTCTGAGTATAATTTTTTACAGTGATTGGTTCTCTGGTGCTTAAAAAAACTGGTACCATTTTCTTTCTTTTTTTTTTTCTTAAAAAGAATTTATTTAACTATTTTATGTGCATTGATGTGAGATCTCCTGGAACTGGAGTTATAGACAGTTGTAAACTGCCATGTAGGTGCTGGGAACTGAACTCAGGACTTCTGGAAGAACAGCCAGTGCTTTTAACCACAGAGCCACCTGGCCAGCCCCTTTTTTTATTTTTGAGACAGGGTTTCTATGTAGCTTTGTAGACCAGGCTGGCCTCGAACTCACAGAGATCTGCTTGCCTCTGCCTCCTGAGTGCTGAGACTAAAGAGGTGCACCACCACTACCCAGCTCCATTTTCTTAAATGTACCCTGTGATCAGTCTCTAGTCTGACACTTTCACCATAAGTCATTAAAGAAACTGCAGACACCTTGTCCTTCACTCCTGGCTTAAGATAGGAAATTTCTTTGGGGTTTGTTTTTAGGTATGTTTGGCCTTTCTCATTTTAAACAGTCACAACTATTTATTTAAGTATATCTCCCTTGAAACAAACAAACAAACCAACAGCAATGGTTCAGTCAAGCACAGCAGCACCAGCCTTTACCCCCAGCACTGGGGAGGCAGAGGCAGGCAGATCTCTGGGTGTGAGGCCAACCTGGTCTACATAAGGAGTTTCAGGACAGCCAAGGCTACATAGAGAGACCCTGGCCTGGAAAAAAAAAAAGCAAAAAACAAAACCCAACAGTCTACATTCATCACTTTTTTTTTTATTGAAAATTGAGTTGTTTTCTTTGCAATCCTTTATTATCCCTAGTGTTTACTAAAGGACAAGTCACCACAGGACAGTACAGGATGCTTGCCAAAAGAGGTGGATATGTCTGGGTTGAAACTCAAGCAACTGTCATATATAATACAAAGAACTCTCAGCCACAGTGCATTGTGTGTGTGAACTACGTTGTGAGGTAAGATTGGGAAGAGACACTTTCTACATTTATTCTGCCTTTATTAAGAAGAGATAAAATGATAAAAACTGAGTTTTATTTTTACTTCTTCTACTGGATTATGATTTATACTCTGGCCCAACTTTCCAAACCAGCTATTCCAGTGATCCACAAAAGAATATCATTTTTTTTTTTTTATCAGTCTGTGGATCTGTTTTCCTGGTAGTTGTGTTTTAAGCAGCTGCTATCCTGGGGCCAAAAGATTCTGTGAAAGTTAAATGGCTGTCTTGTAGGAGGGCACTGTGACAGGCTGTGTGTTGTGACACAGGGCTTTTGTTACAGTCATGAATGCTATAAGTTATTTCAGCAAGCTGTGCCCCATTTAGTCACTCTTCACATGACCAAAACATTCTAATTTAATTGCCAGGCAGAGTTCTCTAATGTGGATAGCTCATTTTCCTATGTTCCATACCCTTCCCCTTCTTTTTTCCTGTCTCACTGTGAGTAGGCTTGGCTGGCCTAGAACTCACTGTAGACCAGACCAGCCTTGAATTTTCAGCTGCCCTATGTAGGTTTGCAGGGCTGTGCCAGCATTCTCCAGCATAACTTTCACGGATGCTACCAAAATCCAGGTCACCTGTCTTGTGAAGACTTTGGGCCATTGTTTTTGTTCTTACAACTTCTAGTTTCTATTGTTTCTTTGGGGGGATATTTTTGATGCTAGGATCAAACTCCATGCCTTACCACTTCTAAGCCCAAAGAATCATCTTAGTTTAAAGAGTTCTTTTGTGGTTTTTTTGCCTTTATATAAAACTATTCTTCCTCTCCCAGTCTGCCTCATGATTGTTACTTGAGCCCAAATTCCAGCTTGTTCACCTTTCTATGAAACATCCTTTCCCCATCTTAGGAGTGATCACAGTGTATTGTGATCTTATCCATTTCACATTGGATATAAACTACTTGAAGGCAAGGGTTGTATACATCAGTCTTTGTATTCTTAGTTGGTTTCATAAATTGAACATGTAATGGGTTAGCTAAAAGTACGCTGATGCCAGACATGAAGCTGGGTGGTTGTTCATCATCCCTTTCCCTCTTCTTTCCTATCTTATGAATGACATCACTATATTATTTCCACCAAGAAAGTATGGCGCCTCTCATAAAGACTATGGTCATTAGCATTATATTGTAAGATCATCTGTAGATGATGTCTCATGTGTTAATGCTGACGAGTAATTTTGTGGCCTTTTTATTGTGTGCATTGCACAAATGCCTTACTCTGCTTGTGTTTCGAGTGTTCTTGTCACCACCCCTATTCTCAAAGAATGTTTCAATTCAAATAAGTTGAATATTTTAATTAGTGAATTTTATTTAAATTTTTATTTTCATATTGGTGATGTTTTTATTGTTTTGGGGGGGTGGGGGTAGTTCAAGACATCGAACTCACAGAGATCCCCCTGCCTCTGCTTTCTGAGTGCTGGGACTAAAGGCATGTGCCACCACCGCCCGGCTTCATATTGGTGTTCTAAAATAATACACATTTCTCAATAGTAGAACGCTTTCCTAGTGTGCAAAGGTCTTGGGCTCAATCATCAGCACTGGGAGGGAAAAGAAATGTGGCAAATATGCATGAGAGATTATTCATCTCAAGGAATGTTGAGATGCTTTTTTTATATAAAGCATAATTGAAGAGACAAGGTTGTTTCACAGTCCCCCTTATTATCATCATGTCAAGTGCTAATTTACAAATACTAATCTCTCCTTTTTTGACAGTGGTATTATTCAGCACGACTTGATTTTCTCCCTTCAACAAACAGAATGTGTCCTCAAACCAGTTGAATCTTCAGATATGAAAATGACTCAGCTGTTCACCAAAGTTGAATCAGACGATACAAGCTGTCTCTTTGATAAGCTTAAGAAAGAACCTGATGCTCTAACCCTGCTGGCCCCAGCTGCTGGGGACACAATCATATCTCTGGATTTTGGCAGCGATGGTGGGTGCTTAATTAGTCTGTCCACTTCTTCAGCTGTGTCTGCTGCTTCCTGTCCCAATTCAGCTGCACTTTCTTGGCTTACGTATTTGCATGATGCTTACACTTTTTTTTAATAGTATTTCAAAGGTATTGTTTAATGTATTTGTTTCTGAAATTTCATAGCCTTCCTACTTTTATTTTTGTGTTCTGTTGGGAATTGCAGTTCAGAGTATCCTGAAGGTACCCTCTAATACCCTCCCTGCCACCCAGCTGCACCATTCAGTAGAGTTAAAATGCAATAGGTGTAATTAGGTAAATGCTAAACGATTAACAAAGCAATCATGCCATAAAGCAAAGATGAAAATGAAAAATGTTACTTCAAATTAGGCTAAGTTTTAGTTTATAACGAGATTGGAGATACACAACCTAGGAGTTGTCAGTGGTGGACAAAAAAGATAACTCAGACTTAATGATCATGCTGTTATGTCCATAAACTTTCCAGTTAAAGAGAACTGAGTGAATCACAAATCTTTTATAAAAGGTAAAAAATATCTATGACTGTTAAAATCCTGATGTTCTTTAGACTGAAGAAATGTTTCCTCTACAGACACGGAAACTGAAGACCAACAACTCGAAGATGTTCCACTATATAATGATGTAATGTTCCCCTCATCTAATGAAAAAATCACAAATATAAATCTGGCAATGTCTCCGTTACCTGCCCCTGAAACTCCAAAGCCACTTCGAAGTAGTGCTGATCCTGCACTGAATCAAGAAGTTGCATTAAAATTAGAGCCAAGTCCAGAGTCACTGGAACTTTCTTTTACCATGCCCCAAATTCAAGATCAGCCAGCAAGTCCTTCTGATGGAAGCACTAGACAAAGTTCACCTGAGGTGAGTACCATGATGAAAGAAAAGATAAAGGATAAATATGCCTGATATTGATAGTTCTCAAAACCCAACAGAAGTGGTTTTTTAATATCTAGGTTGGACCAGGGTTGAAAGTGTCACAAACAACTGTTTCCAAATCCAGAACAATTCTGTTTCAGAGCTCTCTGCTATTAACACTGTGCTTGGGAGCAGGAGAGCTTAGATTTGAACTTTGCAACTGGGTTAGTGAAGCACAAATAAATCTGGATTCTATATTAAACTGTTAGGAATTAAAGTTGGCAGGTGTTAAGTTAAGCAATATGGTATCTCAAACCCTTTTGGAGAATATACTCTTTGCTTTGATTTGCCCAGCATGTAAGTATTTGATTCATTTTGTCATTGATCTAATGAAAAATTAGGAAAAGCAAACTGTTATACCAAGCTACAGTATTTTTTATTAAAATTCTTACCTTTAACTCCTAACATGATGAATATAAGATTCCAGTGAAAATATCTCGTTAACTGGATAATTAGGTGCCATTGTAGAACTTAAATTGTTTGGTGAATTTTATTCTTTAGAATAAACAAATTTTGGGGAGATGTTGGTTGGTTGGTTTTGTTTTGCTTTTTTTGAGACAGGGTCTTACTATGTAACCCTTTTTGGCTTGGAGCTCACTTTGTAGACCATGATGGCCTTGAATTTACAGATTCTTCTGCCTTTGCCTCCCCTTGTGCTGGGATTAGAGGTGTGCTCCACCACAGCCTACTAAGCAAATCTTTCAATCATAGTTTTTAGTTAGATAAAGCTTTATAATATCTATGTGCTTGAAACTTATTAACAAGAAAACCTAAGGACTTCTTCAGGAAAAAGTAAATACTCCTAACTCCTTTCACAGCCTAACAGTCCCAGTGAATATTGTTTTGATGTGGATAGCGATATGGTCAATGTATTCAAGTTGGAACTGGTCGAAAAGCTGTTTGCTGAAGACACAGAAGCAAAGAATCCATTTTCAACTCAGGTGTGTTGACTCACTTATTTTGTATTTTATTAATTTTTAGCCCATAGTGACTGGGTTTAACTTGTTTTTCTTTTACAAGATGTGGTCATTATAAAAACTCTTCTATTTATTTATTGTTTGAAAGGATACTGACTTAGATTTGGAGATGCTGGCCCCCTATATCCCGATGGATGATGATTTCCAGTTGCGCTCCTTTGATCAGTTGTCACCATTAGAGAGCAGTTCCTCAAGCCCTCCAAGTGTGAGCACAGTGACAGTGTTCCAGCAGACCCAGCTACAGAAACCTACCATTACTGCCGCTGCTGCCAAGACTGCCACCACCACAACCACCACCGCCACTGATGAATTAAAAACAGTGACGAAGGACAATATAGAAGACATTAAAATACTGATTGCATCTCCATCTTCTACCCATGTACCTCAAGAAACGACAGCTGCTACAGCATCAACATACAGTGCTCCTCCTCACAGTCGGACAGCCTCACCAGACAGAGCAGGAAAGAGAGTCAGAGATCAGACAGAGAAAGCCCATCCAAGGAGCCCTAATGTATCTGTCACTTTGAGTCAAAGGTATTTGGAACATATTTGTTCTGTCATGTTCTAGTACATAGGTGACGTTAAATGACTTCTAAATATATAGCCATCTTTCTGACATGTGCTCTAAGGAACATCATAAAGTTACCTTATAACTTCTCCCACACAATCCTATCAGTTGTCCAAGTATAGAAGGTCAGAAGGATGTCTTCCAACACCTCTAAAACTAAGTCCGGCCGGTAAGCAAAAAAATGTCAGGTGTTTATACCTGAAGAAAAGCCCTTCAGCTAAATGGTTCTTTCCCATCCCAGACTGAAAACTGGTGGTGTTTAGTCCTCACTTGTAAATATGGATATTTGCAGGCCTTCTTTTTAAAATCTTGCATATAATTTCTAGCCTTAAACTTACTGTTATTCTTCATTGCATATTTTTGTGTTATCATTATTATTATAAAGAAAATAAGCTTTGTTTAGATCTACCAAAAGTTCTAGAATGACTTACAATATTGTTTCTATGGGATGAAACAATGGTTGAGCAAATATTTAGAATTTCTGTATATAATATGTAATGGTATTTGATGTGTTTTAAATTTGAAGCTGTACCTACAGGGAAGTAATTTTCACTAATTAGTGAGTGAAAGAAAAATGATTCCTTCTATTCTGTGCCTAGACAGAGCAAGCTGCCTCTGATAGCAGGCGAAAGGACGCTGCTGTAACTGGGTGGATCTTTGTTCCCCCTTCGTCTGAAGTGCTAGGACAGGCTGCCATTTTCTTAAGCTAGGAAAAATGCTTGGGGCTTTAGATGAATTCAGTATTTTCATTTGGGTATAGTAATATATGCCTTTAGTCCAGGCTCTCAGGCACCTGAGTCAGGAGAATTACAAGCTTAAAACCAAAGATGAGTGGTGGTATACACACACACCACATAAGTAGATAAACAGTACAACCAGAGATGATATTTATATGATAGACTGAATTATATTTCATGAACATAACATACATAAAAATTTTAAACCAGCTTGCTTATATACTACATGGTTTATAAATATTTTAAAATTAAAAACCTACATTTATAAAATCATTAGTCATATATGACTTAGCCATTTGGCTTTCTGTTGGAAAACCAAAGCAAATACGAGAAGCTTAACTGACTTCATCATAATTCCTTGTGGCCTAATATTTCAGGTACAGCAACTCGAATATATTGGTCAGTACTGAGGCCAGACCAGTAGAGTGCAGAGGTCCCTGTGGAGGAGATAGGTATGTGAAGACCTGGCATGTACTTCCATGGCTATAATTAATCAGCAGAGGGACTTAGAGCAAACTACCTAGCTGGCCTCAGTTTCTCGTTTATAAAATGGTTACGGAGTACATGTCATAGCCATCCTTAAGTGTTAGAGTAAGGTTAAAATGAATGTAAATTTTCTTTGGTTGTTGTTTTGGTTTTGAGGCAGATTCTCACAGTGTAGTCCAGGCAACCTTAAACTTAAAATGTAGCTAGGTTGTATTCAAACAGGGATTATAGGTGTGTAACTCTTCGTCTAGCTAAAACAAGTATAAATTGAAAATACTATACAAAAATGAATGTCATCTTGCATTTCAGTAGTCTCCCAAAATATGAGTCCACGAACAGTGGTGGTCTTCTATAGAATGGTTGCTTTTTTCTTTTCCAGAAATACTGTTCCTGAGGAAGAATTAAATCCAAAGATAATAGCTTTGCAGAATGCCCAGAGAAAGCGAAAAATGGAACATGATGGCTCCCTTTTTCAAGCAGCAGGGATTGTAAGTGTGAGTAGTGGTGTGTTGTCTTCCAAATAAATACTACAGTTATATTTTTCAAAAGCTACCATGGGGCTTTTAAAAAAAAAAAAAAAAAAAAAAAACTTGTATTTAATGAAATAAATTCAGGTGTGAAAAACAAACCTGGCAGATAAATTTAGAGGAAGAAGTAAAGTTTGCCCATTACTTTACCCTCAGTATCAACACCACTCTCATTTTCTTTCCAGTAAATTATTTTGCTTATTACCGAAGCACTGGGGCTGGAGAGATGGCTCAGTAGTCAAGAGTACTGACTGCTTCTCCAAAGAATGCAAGTTCAAATCCCAGCACCCACATGGTAGTGGTATCTTGCTTTGCCAGTGAACTTGTGGTGGCCACACCCTATGGGCGTGGCTTCAGGTGTTCAGAGGTGACCCTTTATAAGGTAGAGAAGATGCAGTCTCATGTGGCCATCACTGGCAAATAACACTGACAGAGCAAGATGCCACTACAATGGATCACAACCCTCTGCAACTCCAGTTCCAGCAAATCCAATCTGATCTTATGACCTCTGCTGGCACCATACACCTGTGGTGTTCACACATACACACTGGCAAAATACCCAGACACATAAAATAAAAATAAATCTAAAATATTTTTTTAAAGAAGCATTAAGTTTTGGGGACAGTTGAGGCTAGCTTATCCATAGAACAGATTGACTGGAAAGTACTTAAAGACACATTAGCAATAATGAGGAAGAAATAGCTTTATCATACTATTATAAGAATAAATGAAAGATTACTACATTAATATAAGAAAATTTTAAATTCTAGAGCATTGTTTAAGAAACTGGCTTATAGGTTGCTATTAAATGTATGCTGACTGCAGGTTTTTTATTGTGAACAGTTCAACATACTAAATGTTAACTTTATTCTTTTTTAGGGAACATTATTGCAGCAGCCAGGTGACCGTGCTCCTACTACGTCACTTTCTTGGAAACGTGTAAAAGGATGCAAATCCAGTGAACAGAATGGAATGGAGCAGAAGACAATTATTTTAATTCCCTCTGGTTAGCTTATTCTTTCTGTTCTTAACCAACACAAGGGAAAGTTTAAATATGAGATTATTTTAGGAGTTCCCCAAAAGGTTTTGGTTCCTTAGGAAATTAAAAAGTAGCTGGGTGATGGTGGCACACACCTTTAATCCCAGCACTTGGGAGATAGAGACAGACAGATCTCTGAATTCCAGGCCAACCTGGTATACATAATGAGATATAGACCAGTAATGACTACAAATACAAAGTGTGACCCTGTCTCAAAGAAAGAAAGAAAGAAAGAAAGAAAGAAAGAAAGAAAGAAAGAAAGAAAGAAAGAAAGAAAGAAAGAAAGAAAGAAAGAGGAGAAGGGGAGAAAGGGGTGGGGGGGGAAGATCCGGGCATTGGTGGCGCACGCCTTTAATCCCAGCACTCAGGAGGCAGAGGCAGGAGGATCTCTGGGAGTTCGAGGCCAGCCTGATCTCCAGAGCGAGTGCCAGGATAGGCTCAAAGCTATACAGAGGAAACCCTGTCCCGAAAAACAAACAAGCAAACAAACAAACAAATAAATAAATAAATCAAAAAGAAAGATGAAGTACAGTAGCATTTCGTCTGCTGTCTACAATTGAAATCCAGGGGTTAGGTATTTCAGAGCAGACTCTGCATAAACATCCTGGCAGTGGAAATTAACTTGATTACACTTACTTGTTTGCACAGCTGAGGGCATGGCCCTTAGGTTTAAAAAAAAAAAAGCCCTTCCAGAAATTTATTTTATTTTACCCAATACCTACTGCAAAATAGGTGTTTAATCAATTTAATGATACTTAGGTATCTTTTTGTTTTTCAGATTTAGCATGTAGACTGCTGGGGCAATCAATGGATGAGAGTGGATTACCACAGCTGACCAGTTACGATTGTGAAGTTAATGCTCCGGTACAAGGCAGCAGAAACCTACTGCAGGGTGAAGAATTACTCAGAGCTTTGGATCAAGTTAACTGAGCTTTTCATAATCTCATTCCTTTTGATTATTTCTTTTTTTTTGTTGTTTTTGTTTTTGTTTTTTTGTTCAGTTATTGTTATGTTGTTTGTTTGGGTTTTTTTGTTTCTGTTGTTTATTTTTGGACACTGGTGGCTCAGCAGTCTATTTATATTTTCTATATCTAATTTTAGAAGCCTGGCTACAACACTGCACAACTCAGATAGTTTAGTTTTAATCCCCTTTCTACTTAATTTCCATTAATGCTCTTTTTAATATGTCCTTTTAATGCCAGATCACATTCACATTTCCTCAGTATTTTCACCATTGCATTGCAGTAGTGTCATTTAAAATGCACCTTTTTATTTATTTATTTTTGGTGAGGGAGTTTGTCCCTTATTGAATTATTTTTAATGAAATGCCAATATAATTTTTTAAGAAGGCAGTAAATCTTCATCATGATCATAGGCAGTTGAAAATTTTTTACTCATTTTTTCATGTTTTACATGAAAATAATGCTTTGCCAGCAGTATATGGTAGCCACAGTTGCACAATATATTTTCTTAAAAATACCAGCAGTTACTCATGCAATATATTCTGCATTTATAAAACTAGTTTTTAAGAAGAAATTTTTTTTGGCCTATGAAATTGTTAAGCCTGGATCATGACACTGTTGATCTTATAATGATTCTTAAACTGTATGGTTTCTTTATATGGGTAAAGCCATTTACATGATATAGAGAGAGATGCATATATGCGGAAGGTATGTGGCATTTATTTGGATAAAATTCTCAATTCAGAGAAATTAACTGATGTTTCTTTAGTTACTTTACCAGATCAAAAGAAAACAGTCCCCTATGTAGTTGTGAAAGCTTATGCTAATATTGTGTAATTAATATTAAACATAAATGTTCTGCCCACCCTGTTGGTGTAAAGACATTTTGAGCATACTGTAAACAACAAAAGAATCATGGATTGTTAGTAAAATTGCCTAGTATATTAATTTGTTCAAAATATGATGTTTGGTTTATGCACTTTGTCGCTATTAACATCTTTTTTCATATAGACTTCAATAATTGAGTGATTTTTTAGAAGCATTATTTTAGGAATGTAGAGTTGTCATAGTAAACATCTTGTTTTTTCTATGTACATTGTATAAATTTTTCATTCCCTTGTTCTTTGTGGTTGGGTCTAACACTAACTGTACTGTTTTGTTACATCAAATAAACATCTTTTGTGGACCAGGCCCCCATGGGTCAGCTTTTATGTTTAAATAACATTTGTTTCAACATTTCCAGGTCATAAAAGGACTTCCCCCAATTTAAATTCTTTATAAAAGTTACATTGTACGTTTCTACATTCATTATTGCCATTATCTAATGTATAATGTATTCCCAAATGTCATGTTAAGTAATGACAAATCACAATATTGCACTGTAAAGAGAAATTCTTTTTAGGAATTTGCCATTATAAATTTATAACTATTAAAATATAAAACACAAAACTTCAGTATTTTCAGTATGAATGGAATACATGAAACAAATCATGAAAATCATTATTATATACTGTTGTAAGGGCTCCAGGCTCCTCTACATTCCAAATCTGTTCCCAGTAGCAGATAAATAAAGCTAGGGCTGAAATAAGACAGTTCCCCAAGCTCCAAAGGCTAAGTGGCAGGTCAAAGACTCTTACATCTTAGAACATTATCTTGGTTGGTTTGGTTTAATGATACGGGTACATGGCACATGAACATGTAGATGCATTTTACAGATAATCGTATATTACCTGATGTTTCTTTACTTTGACAGGTCAAAAGAAAACAATATCCTGTAATTGTCAATTTTAGAAACTTCCAAATAAACACCACATATCTTCCAGCTATATGCATCACTATTAGTATTTTAAAAACATTTTTAAGTAGCTTTACTCAGGACTGGAGAGATGACTTAGTGGTTAAGAGCACTGACTATTCTTCTGGAGGACCCAGGTTCAAGTCCCAGCACCCACATGGCAGCTGGCCAATGTCTGTAACTCCAGTTCCAGGGTATCTGACATCCTCATATAGCCATACATGCAAGCAAAACACCAATGCACATTAAATAAAAAATTTAAATATAGATTTATTATTCTGTAGTTTTCTATTATAAGATAGCTGTTCTGCTTTTTACATTCTAATTTTTAAAAAATCAGAAAGTCTAGAAAGATCTAAACCTAAGAAATGGAATCTGGGACTACTGTGCACTCCAAGCAGAGGCAGGAGAACCAGGAATTCCAGCCAGCCTTGACGACACAGTGAGTTCTAGACCAGTGTTGGCTACATTAGAATGTCTATCAAAAAAGAGAGAGAGAAAGAAAGTTGGGGCAAGTAGATCGCCTAATCCCTACAGTCTTTTAGAACCATCTGTGTAGTGCTGAGGGTCCTACCTGGGGCCTTGAAAGACCTCTGGAGTCAGCCTCACACACATACCAAGCAAACATTATACCACTGTGTCAAGCAAACCCAGAAACATATCCTTACTGACCAATTACATAACCAGAAGAGAGCCTTTCCTATAGCCTGGCGTGTAAATCCTAAACAAAGTGAGCTTAGTCTTAGGGAGAAGCTTTTATCTTAGGATGAACCTGTGATTAGAAATAACAATTTTGGAACAGTATAGTAATACTAATCCAAAGTTGGGAGCACAGTATACCATGGGCCATCGTGCTTCCACATGTAATTACAGACAGCAATGGAGGTGCCATTTTAGAGTAAAGTTGTTGCTTAACATTCCCAGTTCACAAAATTTTATTTAACAAATTAGTGTCAGGTGAAAACTCGAAGTTTATGTACAGTTTTCAAATATTTGTAAATTTGTCTTTAATATAGAAGTCCAAGGAACTGACTTGTGAGCAATGGCTCAGAAGGGAGCTATAAGGAAAATGAAGTACCTACATGTGGTTTCTTAGAAAAGAAATCACCTGGAGCACCTAGACTCCAGATAGCCACTCCTTCCAGCATTGCCCACCATCTTGACTTTCTTTACACTACTGCCTTGATAACCTGCTCTGGTATCCTGAGCACTGCTCCCTTCAAAAATGCCTATGATGCCCTGTTCTCAGGGCTTCTATGAATGAATGACTAGTATCACTTGCCCCTGACAAAAGATAGCAAAGGACATTAACGTTTTGTTCATTTGTTCAGTGCCTCTACTAGGCTTAGAAAATGGTTACCCATTACCGTTGCCAAAGTGCTTTCAAAGTCTGCGTCTAAATGTCTGTTAAGTACCACATGCTGGACTTAATGCTAGCATTTTGCACATTAATTCACAACCTCTATGAATTCACGCTTGTTTTATACATTATAGATTCTGGCCATCAGTGACTACAGAGTCCTAACCACCAGTCCGCAGAACATACTGGTTTCCCCATTGCTGAATGTTTAAAAATAGCACAAAGGAAAACACAATGAGTAGAAAATGGAGGGTTGGGTGTCACTTGAGAAGTGAGGTGGCATGTCCAAAGGGGAATGGCAAGATACAAATGAACAACGTGTTTTTAAAGCTACTTACTGGGTTTTGAGTTTGAACTAAAAAAGTTCTCTGAAGTGATTAGAAGTGTAATGTATGACAAAGCACTTGACATATAAAAGGCTTACAGAAAGATGCATGTGGCTTTCTCAAAGCTGTTGGAATTAATGGCATAATGGACATGGTTAAACCCTCATAATTACCATTCCAATCCTAACTTCCTCCTCCAAGCTTCGATAAGAGGTTTGAAAAGTTCAAAGTTCTAAGGCAGCAATGTCAAGCAAGAGTTGGGAGGAAGACCGGGAGGGGGGCAGCGGGCCTCTTTAAAGTTTTAATTCAATAAAACTTCAAAGATGTTGCTCGCTGGAATCAACAAAAAAGTCAAAGAAAAAAACTTATTGCGGTGTTTCCAGTCTGCCCCGACCATTTTGTTCTTATTTCTTCCCCTTAAAAGTAGCGTTGACCCCGCTGTCCAGTTAGAGTTGGCGCAATCTGTAGAATATGATCCTACATAGTGTTCTGTCAGATTAAAACGATATCTCACTATACCCGCTCCTCTGACCGCCTCCTAGAGCTTGGTGTCACACCCTTCAGGGGCTTGGGAAACATTTTTATTCTTACCTGTCATGGGTGGGTTTTATCCAAGACGCTGCTCAGACACCCGATCTCCGCTTACTATGTAATTTCTTTTATTCAGTCGTGGCTGCATTCCGGAACGCAGAGAGAGGCAGGGGGCTGGGAG